GGTTGCTTTTATTTATTTATTTATTTTTTAAAGATTTTATTTATTTATCTGACAGAGCTAGAGAGCACAAGCAGCAGAAGCAGCAGAGGGAGAGGGAGAGAGAAGCAGGCTCCCCACTGAGCAGGGAGCCTGACTCGGGCTCTATCCCAGGACCCTGGGATCATGACCTGAGCTGAAGGCAGACGCTCAACCATCTGAGCCACCCAGGCGCCCCTGTTTGGTTGCTTTTATTATTTTTATTTATTTATTTTTAGGTAGGCCTCATGCCCAACATGGGGGCTTGAATTCATGACCCTGAGATCAAGAGTTACATGCCCTACTGACTGAGCCAGCCAGGCACCCCTGTGTGGTTGTTTTTAAAAGTAGTATATATGCATTTGTTATGGAAAATATTAAAAATGCAAACAAAAAAATTAAAACAGGCTTGATCATAAGATCTACATAAAGCCATATTTTGGTTTATTTCCTTCCAGGCTTTTTTTCTGGGCATATATTAAGACATGCACACATATACAAATACACACAAGTATTCTCCAATCCAATACCATACTATGATATACTAATATCAAATACTACTGCATTATGTACTTTTTTCACTTAATAATTATACATATTTTCTTGCCAATAAAAATTTTAAGGCAAGGGTTGTAAACTGATGGCCAATGAAGATGTTTGGCTCACGCAGTGGTCAACCAAATGCAGCTGAGGAATAGCTAATCCTGTGAGACAGGGCCTATGCTCTCTACTTTACTGAAGTCTCCACTACTCTATTGCTCTCCAACTGACACTGGCAGCTACTATGTCTAATTTCACTTGAACTCTTAAAAAAAAATAATAATAATAGTAGGGTTAAGAGGAAAGTGAAGCAATCCTTCTCTTCTCCATGTCTCTACTTTATATCCAGACTGCCTCACTCAATTCTGTTACCTCTTGGCACCCAGGTCTGGGATCCTTTTACTAAAGTATGTTTTGTAAAAGCTTCAGAAAATACAGCAATGGGGCACCTGGGTGGCTCACTCAGTTAAGCGTCTGACTCTTGGTTTTGGCTCAGGTCATGATCTCAGGGTCGTGAGACTGAGCCCCATGTCAGGCTCTGTGTTTAGCAGGGGGTCTGCTTGAGATTCTCTCTTTCCTCTCCCTCTGCCTTTCCCCCCTCGCTCTCTTGCACGCTTTCTCTCTAAAATAAATAAATAAAACCTTAAAAAAAAAAAGGAAAATACAGCATTTTATGACTTCCATAATTTACTGAACCAAATCATTGCTGTTGCATATTTAAGTTGTTTCCAGCTTGTTGATATTACCAATAATACTGGAAGGAACATCTTTTTACATAAATGTAAAAGAGAAATTCCTAGAAGCAGAATTGATTTTGAAGGGCAGGAGTATTTTCTTTTTGATATATACTTCCAAATGCATTTCAGAAAAATTGCACCAAATGCATTCTACTAACAACGGGTGACTTTGCTTATTCCCTATTCTCTATGCCAGAGCATTACTATACCTTCTGGTAAAAGTAGTTGCCAATTTGAGGAATTAAAAGTGGCATTTCAGAGGGCACGGGGGTGGCTCGGTCAGTTAAGAGTCTGCCTTTGGCTCAGGTCGTGATCTCAGGGTGCAGATTGAGCCCCCAAGTTGGGCTTCCTGCTCAGCGGGGAGTCTGCTTCTCCCTCTCTCTCTGCCCCTACCCCCACCCGTGTGTGCGCTCTCTCTCTCAATAAAATCTTTTTTAAAAAGTGGCATTTCAGGCATGCTAAGTGAAATAAGTCAGAGAAAAACAAGTACTGCATGATCTCACTTATATGTGGAATTTTTTAAAACGGTGTTTAAAAAATAATAAAAATAAAAATGGCATTTTTAGGGGTACCTGGTTGGCTCAGTTGGTAGAGCACAAAACTCTTAATCTTAGGGTTGTGAGTTTGAGCCCCATGTTGGGTGTAGAGCCTACTATTTAAAAAAATTTTTTTAAATATGTATTTCATACTCATTTGTTTCATATACAGACAATTATATTTTCTTTGGGAATTGCCTATTCATGTGTTTGCTCATTTTCTACTAAGGTATTCATAATTTTCTAAATGGATTATACAAGTTCCATATATTAAAGATATGATTTTACTTGGTCATATATGCTGCAGGGTTTCCAATTCCCACTTTAATTTTGTGTGTGTGTGATTTTTTTTTTTTTTGACATGCTGAAGCATTTAACATTCACGAAGTCAAAACTAGCCATACTGTGTTTCCTTCGTTTGCTTGTATGCTTACAAAGTCTCTACCTTGTGACTGGGTAAAATTTTATGTATATTTTCTCCTGTTTGGTTTCATGGTTTTCCCTTTCATATTTATGCTTTCAGTATCCCTTCTGCCCTCTCAACAAGATTGGCCAGGGCTCCATAGTGAAATTCTTGGCCATGCGGCACTAAATCACCCAGTTGTTCTGCTCTCTGAGGTGGGACCCAGAAAAATTCATTTTCACCAAGGACCTGAGAGAAGTTTCCTGCAAAGTGATGAAGGAATTACTGGGCGGGCCCTTTTACCAATCTGCAATCTGTCTGTATCTACACCTCTGTGTCTATACAAAACTACGTCCCATCCATATCTGGGTAGTACCCACCGAACACCTGTAGCTGTCTATCCCCCAGGTACCTCAAGCTCAATCCAAAGTACAATTCACTACCTCTCCACTCAAAATTGCTCATCTGCTCACAACAAGAGGTTTCCCTGCCCCAGATCTGAATCGGCCATTTCTCCAAGGATCTCTAATATCTTTTATTGGATAATGGTATTTAGAAACTAAGATCTGGGCACCATATACCTACCATTATCTTGTCTTAACTTTGAACTGTTTCCTCGGGACACAGTTCCAGAAGTGAGATTATTGGATTACAGAAGATGAAATATTTTATGGCTCTTGATTCAATATTGACAAAGGTACAACCAGTCCATTCGTGGGCTCTGTTGGGACCATATATCTTTGCCTCTCCTCCCTCAGCTTGTGTCAGTCACTAATATTAAAGTGGTAGCATTACCTAACATTGTCCTCCTGATGCTAGAAGTTCAGAGGAGAGTTCTGAAATACAGCTCCTATCCCTGCCTTCTCTGGTTCCCCAGGGTTTTTTGCTGATGGAGAGAACAGACACACTCTGAACAAGAGCCAAAATGGGAAGAAAGAACTAAGTGGGCAAGTACACTAACCAACTCCCACTCATGCCCCCTCTCCAAATCCAGGGCATGTCTGGTACATCTGTAGAGGAAGATGAGGCCAAGGCCAGGACCTGTAAGCAAGGATTCCCACTTGCATATACCTCCTTAGTCTAGGCATCTTCAGAATGCACCAGGAAGACTAAGCTGGCCTTTCATGATGGCAGTGAAAAAGAGAAAGATGGGCATGATTTCTGAACTTTAATGAACAGTAACAACATCCACCAAAAATGTGTGACCCAGATTAGCTTATTGGAGGGAATGGAGGACGGAGAGAAAGGTAGTCAAGAAGAGGATACAAAGGGGGCAGAAATGTGACTTCTCCTAGACTCCCTCAGAGTTATCATTTGTGACAAGAGGGGGATAGAATTCCCTCTCCTACAAGTACTACCAGGCATATTCTCCAAACATGTTTACTCTTCCTTGCCTGAGATAAAGCCCACATTTGCTCACCCAAACCAGGTCCAAAAGGCACTGTGAGGCCCTTGGAAAGCACAAGATTTGCTATAGGCTGTCTCGATTTCCTTAAGGGCCAGAAGTGAAGAAAAAGATGCCAGGAATATAATACTGTATGTTAACTATACTGGAATTAAAATAAAAAGCTTAGTGGAAAAGAAAAGAAAAGAAAAGAAAAGAAAAGAAAAGAAAAGAAAAGAAAAGGAAAGAAAAAAAGAAAAGAAAAGAAAGAAAAGAAAAGATAAAAGAAACGAAAGAAAAGGCAAGGCAAGGCAACGCAAAGCAAAGCAAAGCAAAGCAAAGGAAAGAAAAGAAAAAAAGGTGCCAGGGAAGAATCAGAGCAGATATTGATCATTCGAACAAATCTTGTACCTGCCCCAAAATGTGCCACTCCTAGCTGCTGTTGGTGAGCTTGAGAGAGATCTCTTCCTTTTATGGTTCTTCTGATGCTTCCGGGTGACAGGAACTCCTCACATCTCCAGACTGGACTGCTTTAAGTCCAGCTCCTTCAGTTAAACCCAGAGGTTTGGCCTTAGCTGAAGGGGCGGTCAGTAATCCACCTGAGAGGCAGCCGGCATCCGGGCTAAGAACGCTGATGGCAATGTGGCTCTGCCACTCACTAGCTGTGAGATTTCGGGCTCAGTTTCCCATTTGTGAAACGGAGATGTATTCTTCAGGGTTCTCTACAGAAACAGAACCAATAGGAGATATATGGGGGGAGGGAGGGAGGGAGAGAATTATTACAGGAAATGGCTCATGTGATTATGGAGACTGAGAAGGCCGCCTGCAAGCCAAAGCTGGTGGTGTCCTTCGGTCGGATTCTAAAGGCCTGAGAATCAAGAGAGTTGATGGTGTAACTCTCAGTTGAAGGCCAAAGAGTGAACAAGAATGAGACCATGGTAGGGGTGATGGAAGTGGTGACGGTGTAAATCCCAGTCAGAGTCGGAGGACCAGCAGTGCTGTGAGAGGGCAGGAGAAGAATGGATGTCTCAGATCAAGCGAACAGCAAATTTGCCTTCGTCCTATCTTTGTTGTTCTATTCAAGGCCTGAGCTGACTGGATGATGTCCATTCACACTGGGTGAGGGCAATCTTCTTTACTCAGTCTGCTTCAAACGCTAATCCCTTTCTGAAATCCTACCACAGTTACGCCCAGAAATAATGTTTTACCAGCTCTCTGGGCATCTCCCTTAGCCCAGTCAAGATGACGCATAAGATTAACCATCAGGTGATAACAGTAGTGACTTCAGAGTCATTGTGAGGAATAGATGAATTCATATGTAAAGTACTCAGAACAGGGAACTCAGGAACAATGGTTAGAAGGTGGTAATGATGGTAATGGCGACCATGAAGGTGCCGAAAGGCATCTTCCTTCAACCTGCCAACCTGCCGGTACTAAAATTCCCTCTGACCACAGCTATAGTTTGAAAGCGGTCCCCAAACTCTGCTTCAGGGGATGCTACTGTTTCAGGAGCTGGGCCAAAGAAATTTATTGCTACAATAGAGTCGTGACAGTCTTCTCAGGCCCTCTCTCCACCAACTGCAGGCCAAGTTAAGTTAATGGATGGAATTTTTTAACTTAAATTTTCATCCCATTAGTTTTTACACCTTTAGTGCTAAGTGAGCATTTGGAAAGAATTAATGAGTAGAAAACAATTATTACCGGAAATGCTCAGAAAGAGTCGCCGAAGCATAGCTGAATAGCCAGATTATTTTTCATGAAGATGTACCCAATTGTTTCTAGATTGCATAAATATAAGAGTTATTTTCTGCTAGTAAAATTAGCCTTAATTTGTATGAGAGAATGAAATATGTATTTGGTTTTGCCCTACCAAGAGGATAGTAGCGTCCAGGTTCAGTGCTAGCTGAGAGAATCTGGGTCCCCAACGTGAGGTACTGAAGGCCTTCATGTCATCTCCAGGTACAGGGCTCACTGATCATAACACTCACCTGACCCTTAGCATGTACTATCTTACAGAGTTTATTATTCTTATTCTTATTATTACTCATCATTTAAAACATTAGTTTTTATTTCCTAGTTATACTTACACTCTCTGAAAGAAGAATTGACTTTTACATAGTTCCTTATGTCTTCAATGGCTAAAAGAGAACTATATTTTTAGTGTCTACCTAAATAAACACTGGGTTAATAACTTGTTACTTGGAATGGATTATGCTTCAAAATTTTTAACTTCCATTAACCGCCCCCAAAATGAGACGTGGGGCAGCTAAGTCTTAATAATTAAGGAACTAGAAAATGTCTGCCTAAGGACCAAAAGCCCACAGTATGAGGTCTATAGCTGGAGCTTTATGAGTAGGGCATTAGCCCCTAAGAGTTGTTGCTGGAAAAAAACCCTGCTCCACCAAAGAAGTTCCATTCCCTTTAAAGGCTTGCTGGAGGCCATCACTACCAAACTGTAGATGATTTGCCCTTTTCTGGGTCCTAACAAGAGGCTATTTCCCTACTGATTCCTTTCACATATGGAAGAACTGTTGCTTTTGCTTTCTACATAGACCACTGAGCTAAACTTGGCGAAACTAAATTTAGCTTGAGATTCTTACTGGATATCTGTTGAGATTATTGAACTATACAGTATTTTATTTATCAGGACATTTTTCAAGAAACGTGAATGATAGGGTTCATAGAAGGAAGGCTCTTTTTGCACTGGAAATCAACATTCTCAGCCTGAACCTCTTCCACTCACAACGAACACCCTCTCCCCACCCATACCTTTCCCCACCACCATCTTGGCTGCTATAGTCAATCCAAAGGGGTGATGGAAATGAGAATACTTCATGCCCTAGAAAAGAATCTCCTAATTTGGGGCACCTGGGTGGCTCAGATGGTTGGGCATCTGCCTTCGGCTCAGGTCATGATCCCGGGGTCCTGGGATCGAGCCCCACATCGGGCTCCCTGCTCAGCAGGGAGTCTGCTTCTCCGCCTCTCTTCTTCTCCCCCTGCTCATGTTCTCTCTCTCTGTATCTCTGTGTCTCGAATGAATAAATTAAAAAATCTTTAAAAAAAAGAAAAAGAATCTCCTAATTCTAACCCAATGCAATTATGGACCTTCCAGTCCATGCTCATCCTAATGCCTGTGAATGAACATATTATTATGTGAACACACTTACTGAAAAAGAGGAGTGTATTTCGAAGGACCTGTTTGAAGACATTGGATAACAGTTGGCAGATTGTAAATCTTTAATATGCCTCCCCATATGACACTGAAGGAATTCTTATTGAGTGAAATTTAAGAAGAACTAAGTACCACCTTCTGCATGTTCATTATTCCTTCTCCATCTCCCCTCCTCCAATCCTGGGAGCTCAGTACTGTTCACAGCATAAAGATAGGCTTTGTTCTATCTTCCCAAACAGAACTTTTCCTGAAATGGCTGCCTTGGGGGAGGGAAAGCCGATAGGATTGATATACACATACAGCAATGCTAAACATACTATGTCTTATAAATCATAAGGTTCTCTCTCTCTCTCTTTTTTTTTAAAAGCCTAATTTGAGTAGCCAAGACTGTTTACCTGATGGTCTAATTTTTCCAGACTGGAAATAGCCACACCTAGAGAAAAAAAAAACCCTTCTTCTTTTCTCTCACTCTTCTCATAAACATAGGTTTTATATTTCAATTTTTTCCATCTTTCTAAAGTAAGCTGATTTCAAATGAAGAAAGACACATAGAAGAGGTCCTAAAGAGTCTCTTGGTAGACACAGAATTGTTGAATTTAAAGATAATTGAGTTTGACTTCTACCATATAAGCAACCCACGGCTGTTAGGATTCTTACTTAGACAGGGCTCATCAATTCTCACTAAACCTTATTCACAAATTTGAGAGACCTCGGCCATTGCTAATAAAATAGATGATGTGAAAGGAAGTCTCTGGGAGGAAAGTGGAAGTTCCCCGTTCAAAAATAATCCTAGACCAGACCACACTCCTAAAAAAAGTTCCATTAATATCTAAATGACTTCCTAATTTCTATACGCGTTTCTCAAGGTCTTTCCAACGCACAACTTCATATTTGTTGGGTGAGATGGTGTGACATTCAAGAGGAGCATATGTGAGACCTAATTCCATTAAGCTCTCACTGGTTAGCCACATTTTTTTCTTATTATATTATCTAAAGGGGCAGCCCTGGGGCATTTAGCCACCAAAAGCAACTGTCATATGTTGTGATGAACTGTTGTTCATTATTTTTCAAAGCCCTCCCACCCCAAATTCCATTTCAACTTCCAAAAAGATATGTGTATTAGTGTTATTTCTTCTTGAGTATGAAACAGCCTATGAATGTAGTGGTAGGCGGTGGAGGGGGAGGGCATTCAAGGTCAGTGGCTCCTGCCTTTCCCTGAGATCCACTTATCCTGTGCCCAAGAAACACCATGATGATGTACTTCTTGAGCCTCAGAGGACTGGGCCATGACCAGACCCAGACTAGAGTCCCACAGAAAACTCCTTGGGAATCCATGCTGCTCTGTGATTTTCCAGGCTGCATCGTAGCAGGGTGGTACTTCCCCAGCTGCGAGGCGAAGGGTGTTCATCAAGTCCCAGGCAAAAAAAAAGGGAAAGGGAACCAGGCTGTTAGGGCCAACCACTGCGTTAAGGACTACACTGTTAGCTCAGCTCATCTCATTCAGTCTAGCAACCACCATGAGAAATCCATTGCTATCATCCTGATTTTATAAGTGAGGAAACTGGCCCAGAGAGGGCAAGTGGTTTGCCCAAGCTCATATAGTAAGAAGCAGATAGGAATTCCATTTCAGGACCCTCTGTCTCTGAGCCTGGTACTCTATTTTTATGTTTTTGTTTTTGTTTCTAGGCTTGGGGGTGTGTGTGGGCAGGGAGATGGGTGACGGCTACCCTGGGAGGTGGATGCTGGGATGGGGATGCAGGGGGCGGGGGAGGAGGCAGAAAAGGGCCAGCAGAGCAGGGGGTGACAAAAGGATATACAGGAAATTCCCTGAAGAGCTTTGAATCCCACTGATTTGTAACTATGACTGACTTAAAGGTAGGGATTATGATTTATTGTTGTAAAAAGTGTAAAGGAAAGAAACAATCTGTCCTAATGTTATTCATTACAGTTTTGGGGTTCATGACTTTTTGTAAGTCAGAGGTGTTAATCAAATTTAAAAATTGTATAGCTGGGATGGTTCACTTTATGTCAATTTGACTGGGCTAAGGGATGCTCAGATAGCTGGTAAAACATGATTTCTAGGTGTGTCTGTGGGTGTGTTTCCGGAGATTAGCATTTGATTCAGTAAGCCTCACAACTGCAAGTGAGCATCATCTAATCCATTAGGGGCCTCCCGAATAAAACAAAAAGGTGGAGGAACAGCAAACTCTCCTCTTTTCTTGAGCTGGGATATGAAGCTCCTGGTCCTCTTGCCTCCAGACTCCAAAACTTGGGCGTTTTGGACTGGTCCCTCCAAAAGGGACCAGTGGTCCCTCTCTTCTCAGGCCTTTATACATGAACTGGATTATACTACTGGCTATCTTGGTTCTCTAACTTGCCAATGGCAGATGGTGGGAGTTCTCGGCCAGTTCCTAACTTCGGTCCCCTGCTGGTTCTGTTTCTCTGGAGTTTCTCTGGAGAACCCTCACTCATATGACTGCATAACTGAAAGCAGTGTTTTTAAACCAGGTGTTGCAAAGTGTGCTTGTGACCTGTGTGTGCGTGCGTCTGCATGTGTGAAAGACCGAGAACTAGACTGAGATTTAAAAAAAAATGTGTTTCTTACTATGGTCCTGGTCAAAGATCCTTGAAAGCCATTGATTTTAAGAGGGCTTTGGAGGCTAGGAATAAATCCATTCACATTCAACAGGCCAAATGTTTCCAGATGTGTTATCAGGGCCCTGACTACATGTCTACTGTTACCAGGACATCTCAAGCCACTATTAATCACAGAACTACCTATGCTCCCCCAATTTTGTATTTTTACTTTTAAAAATGTTATCATTTGTGAAGCTATAAATAAAAACAATTTGCCCTGCTGTCCTAATCGAGTTAGGACTCACGGTCTCCCTCATTCCTCTGCTAATGAGCCCGTCTTTATTTGCTGCTTTTGCAATCTGGGGTATGGATTGGGTGCTGCCAGAAAGCACACGACTGAAAGTGGCTGTGTTTCTCTGCTGGCAGGCACAATTCCAGAGCCCCAAGGCAGCTGTTAGCTCTGTTTGCAGGAATATAAATTCTTAAAGCATCAACCTTACCTCCAAAGTGCCAAGAGAAATCCTACCAAACTTGTGGGCAAAATACATATAAACATTTTTCTATCAGTAGGTCAATGAGGGATGTAATCCATGAGAGGAGAGTGAGAAATGGTACCTAAGTACTCAGCTGTGGGACGTGGCTCCTAGTGAGCTCTCCCGAGTGCCAGGGTTCAAAACCAGC